TTAAATACGGATTTGATGCACGAGAAAATAGTGCATATTGGACGTGAAGAAGGGAGCAAGTTGCACTGGGGAAATAAACGCGCCTGATTTAAATGTCACACCTGAACGCTCACATCCTTTTAATTATGTTTGAAATTATGAACATTGCTCAACATCATGGAAATTAAACCTTATTTTCAATAAGCAATCCTGAAAAATATTTGGGGGTGCTTAACTTTTTTCCAGGTGTATATATAAGCCTTAATCTTATTACAGTTGAACTAATTTACTTCTTTAAGGAGGCGAAGTAAACTTCAGAAAATTTACATTTTTATGTGTAATTATTTGATTGGGCAAGAATGCTTACGTATAGAGAATAGAAACATTCAACACAGAAGAGGTAAAATAACTACTTCAGTCACTTTTACTTTAACCTCTATAAGTTTAGCTCTAACCAAAATATTTTTCCCGTAAGGACACTGTTCAGTACTTTGTGAAAGGAACACCGGCGAAAAAAGGGGACTACATCGAATTCATTGCTGAAATGGACCTTCTAGTGGCATTGTCTGTTTGTCCACAAGGTAGGTACACCCAATCATTGAGTCTCTGTTTCACCTATACAGCAGGAAGCTTCGGGATTTATAACACTAACATTTGGAGTTAGATTCTCGAGATGGTTACAGCTCAGATAGCCTGTTGTGTAGCTTTGCACTGAAGCAAACTGTTTCACTAAAAGTAGGTGTGCCCATTGACTTACCGTTTCTTCTTCCATAAGTTAACCCACCCATTGACTTACAGTACATTCTTTCATGGGTTAGTCCATCCATTGACTTACAGTTTCTTCTTCCATAGGTTAGTCCATCCATTGACTTACCATTTCTTCTTCCATGGGTTAGCCCATCCATTGACTTACAATTTCTTCTTCCATGGGTTAGTCCATCCTTTGACTTACAGTTTATTCTTTCATGGGTTAGTCTGTCCATTGACTTACAGTTTATTCTTCCATAGGTTAGCCCATCCATTGACTTACAGTTTCTTCTTCCATAAGTTAACCCATCCATTGTCTTACAGTTTATTCTTTCATGGGTTAGTCCATCCATTGACTTACAGTTTATTCTTCCATGGGTTAGTCCGTCCATTGACTTACAGTTTATTCTTCCATAGGTTAGCCCATCCATTGACTTACAGTTTCTTCTTCCATGGGTTAGCCCATCCATTGACTTACAGTTTATTCTTTCATGGGTTAGTCCATCCATTGACTTACAGTTTATTCTTCCATAGGTTAGTCCATCCATTGACTTACAGTTTCTTCTTCCATAAGTTAACCCATCCATTGAGTTACAGTTTATTTTTTCATGGGTTAGTCCACCCATTGACTTACAGTTTCTTCTTCCATAGATTAGTCCATCCATTGACTTACAGTACATTCTTCCATGGGTTAGTCCATCCATTGACTTACAGTTTCTTTTTCCATGGGTTAGTCCATCCATTGACTTACAGTTTCTTCTTCCATGGGTTAGTCCATCCATTGACTTACAGTTTCTTCTTCCATGGGTTAGTCCATCCATTGACTTACCAGTTTTTTTCATGGGTTAGTCCATCCATTGACTTACCAGTTTTTTTCATGGGTTAGTCCATCTATTGAATTACTGTTTCTTCCTCCAAATTAAATCCATTCATCGACCTGTTTCTTCCTCTACATGCCGATAAACCCATTATATTATTATTTGTCTACGAGTTCGTAAACCCATTGTTTAAATGCGTGTTTTATCACCTTGGTTGATATACACATTACTTTGTTTTCTTCTCTGCGATTCACTAGACTCATTTATTTTAATTAATAAGCATAGTGATGTGTCAGAACTGTGAAATTCAAGATTTATTTACGTCTAATATAGATTTTGTTCACTGTAGCTGCATTGTGAATAATTTGTTTCTTTATGGTTCTATTTTATACATGATTTGGTTTAAATGTTTCGCAATAATAGATTTCTCAGACGTGGAAACGTCAAGATATTTTTGGTGGTTCTCTTTCTCTAGGAATATACGTTCATAGTATCGAAATCATCTGAGAATAGTTCTACATCAAAAACGTCAAATTCTTCATTCTGGGCGAGCAGCAGTTCATTAATCAAACCTTTAATAATACTCAATGAAACCAGCCACTACAATAAGCAAATTATCAATTAAACTGTTACCTAACAAACATTCAGACATAGTTTAACTTACGCAATCTGTTTGCCCCCAGTAGCTCAGCGGTATATCTGTGGACTTACAGTGCTAAAACCGGGTTTCGATACCCGTGGAGGGCACAGCACAGATAGCCCATTGTGTAGTTTTGTGCTCAATTACAAACAAACAATCTGTTCAATACTTCTTCTAAAATATCTCTCAACAAAACTATTACTTCTTCCAAAAAACATACCAAATTTATAAGTGAGTTCACTTTTAACCAAATATTATTGTTTATAAAGGCCCCCATTGGCACAGCGGTATGTCTGCAGATTTATAACGCTAAAAACCGGGTTTCGATACTCGTGGTGGGCAGAGCATAGATAGCCCTTTGTGTAGCTTTATGCATAACTACAAACAAACAATTTATAAATAGCAAACAATTTTAACGGAAAGTAGAGATCGTTGGTTACTCGTAAAACTGCTATAAATTGGCAAATTTAGACTGCTTCATTTAACCATATGGATCACAATGCCAACAATAAAGCAGTCGAAGTTTGCCATCCAAAGTAGGGATTGAAAATCGTTTAAAAATCTATCCAGCTAGTATCACTTTATTTGTTTGTGTACTTTTTATTTATTGCAGCATTTATTTTGTTTTGGATACTTCTTATAGCAATTCTACGAATAACCAATTAACCCTACTTCCGTTAACATTTTATTTTTTCCTATTTATTTGTTCAGTTTTTATATTTCTATGGAATGGACACAACATATATAAAGTTTCAGTATAGCCATAACGTTTACAAGAATTAAAACCACAATCACAAATTTATAAACTGTAATCCTTACTTAGGCTTACAGATAAGTGTATAAAGCTGCCGAAGTAGGGATTAATTAACTTCTATAAATTTGAATTTGTGGTTTTAATTATTTTCATTACTTTTTGTAGCAGGACCCCTACTTCATTTTAAAAATCATAATTTTTTAATACACTTGTTTCTTGTTTTTTATGTTACACCCGTATAATATATAGAGGTTATGTAGTCACATGACTAAAAGCGGACATTTTGGACGTAAACATAACGACTTCCCCAACTGTAACGTTACATTGTGTACAGGAAAACTTTGCGTTTAGCACTTTGATTGATGTTTTATGGCTCAAAGTAACTAGGCTATTTGCGCTTTGACAAAGGATTTAAATGAACCATCTAAACATCGGTGCAAGATAAAAATGTTAGCAATTTGGAATGGCTAAGACTGACCCATATTCTATTCCCCCGGCAATGACCACAAGTTTAAATGCCGCTTCATTAGTCATGTTGACAAACAGAGACACAGTTATGGACATTTCCGACATGGAATATCCAGATATTTTCAGTTATCTAGCCTTTTATTTTAGTGCCTCATATTGAAGGCTTACAAAGTTTAGATGCCTTGTGACAGGCTGGATGCACAGTGTCAGACTGTGAAAAGTGTATAACCCGTCAGTTTTCATAATCCACTGGCAGTTAAACAACTGGTACAAAAACTGTTAAACTAGACCTAGATGAGTTCTAATTAATCACCTTTATTTTGTTACGACAGCGGAAGTCGCGTGACTCTGGTAACACGTAAAGAGTTCTAGAAAGATCGGGGAACATCACGAATAAGCCAGTATTTCCTAGACGCCCTCTATTCTTGTATATAAGTGCGTCAGACAATTAATCGGAAATGAATAGCGGACAGAGAGATTCAAGATGTAGACGGACAATTGAGTCAAGCGCGGTAGTAAGTAAAGTGCGTGAATCGTTCGTTGAGAATTATAGCGTTTGTTGAAGTCAAACTCACTGTGGAAATTAAGTGTATTGCAAAGTTGTATTGAGAAAGAATAAACTAGTTTTATTTAAGAAAGGACTTGTATTGCTGAAGTTTCTCGGGAAGAATTTCTACCGGAAATTATCAAACGAGCAGAGACATAACAATTTGCTTAGCAGTGTTTCATGTGTGCTGACGGTTGATATATAGTTCTGAATTTAAAGAAAATTTATTTGTGTGTGAGGTTGTTTGCTAACGTGTACTAGATCTGTTGGTATTAGGCCTAGAATTTAGATCTAATTGTTTAACAGCATAATACATGGATTATGATGTTACATTTGCATTTTATAGGCTGTATACCAGTAAAACTTTTAATACATGATTCTATCCCAATATTCATATTTTTCGTGAAACAAGCACCGCAAAGCATCAGCTACAGGCTCCTAAATATACCTATAGTTTTTGGGATAATATAATTTGTTATTGTGTATGTGGATATATATGTAATTAATGGTGGTTTAATGTGTTAAAATGTCTTATTGACAATTTACAGCAAAAGTTATATTTTCATATTTGTGCAGTACTGATCCTGCCTGACAATATAATGGTAAAAACATTACGATTAATAAGGTTAGTTATTAATAAGGTTAAGTTACCAGTAGTTCACACATTAAAAACGATTTATATATTAATGCTATATTTCATCTGACATTCATAATCGTGGACTAGGATGGAGTATTATATTAGGTGGGCTTGTCTGGGCTTGTATCAAAACTGTTCCCAGGTTCAAGCCGATAGCTTGAAGCTTTTATGGTGCTGGGATTAATATTCATATTTTCATTGTCTGAAAAAAAATACTTTTAATACCATACGAATATGTTTGTAGGTATGTCATTCACAATGACTGTCGGACAGTCCTTTGAGTGTTTGGATTGCAGTTCAACATGAGGCCAGGTCTTTACTGCACATTTCACGTGTATAGCAGGATTAAGAAAGTGTTGCTCCCGTGTAACAGCCACGTTGTTCTACATGGAGACAGCAACAAAGATGACCAAAGGTCAAACCTGTACTTTGTACAACCAACAGCATACAACTACTTGGTATTATTCATCTCTAAGCATTTAACTGCTAGGTTCGCCGTTATTTCACTAGTTTGTTATTACATCCAGTAGAGCGGAATAAACAAACCCGGCCCAGTGCATGACGTCACGTGAATCACTTCTATATACTTTATCTTTAGAGACTGTCGCGTGTCTATCCATCGATATGTAGTGCCATCTGATGGGTTGAAAAGATATTTAAGCACGTGTATGATATGCTTACCATTTATAAAACATCTGTATATATTTATCGGAATATCAAAAGTAAATACTCATAGATCAGTCAAGTAAAATGGAGAAATCGTGTAGCTACAGTCTGAGCCGTATAAGCGTGATCATGTGGGTAGGTAGATAGTAGACGAAAAGTTACTGTTTTAGAAATATTTGAATTGTTATACTGGAAATGTTGGCGACTTTTTTAGCGTATTATTAGTATATATATATGCTCATAATATATCATAATTAATATTTTGAATGGTCGATTTTCCCTTAGGAATTCAAGAGGGTAATTTTTCGGCGTGTGAATTATTTGGAAACCTTGTCGATCCCTACTATTAAGTACTACTGTACTTAATAATACACGTTACAGATCATTTTCTTATTACATTGTTAGATTACAGAGTGTAGCTGTTTTATACCTAAAAAGAGTTTGCAAGTAGGTTTTCTGCTCCATTGGTTTAACTTTGCTGAATCGTTTAAACAGCAACAAAAACTTATGGACGATTGGTAGTGGTCACTAGCTGTTAGATGGCAGTTTATTAACATGTATCTTTCCACGTTTTCCTTCTGATCAAAATTCTGCCAACCATTTTTTTATGTAGCTTACTTCCTTTAGTTAATGAAGATAATATAAAGTTTATGTAGCCTTTCTCTCTGTTATAATCGCGTCTGTTTAATATCAATAAGACAGACCACTGGTTTCGATTTCTTCTACTGTAACTTAGATTGCACCTTAGTCAACTTGTGCATCAAGTTATCGTTTCAAATGTTTATTTGGTTAACTGTCCTTGTAAAACTTACATTAATGTGCATGTCTTTTCTCCACTTGACATGTATGTGTGTTATACATGAATATTCACGAAAACATTATATTTCTTGTGACAGAAGCATTTGTAAAAATGCCTCCAATGCTTATATTCTATAGAATAATTTGAAATCTAGTCGAGTGTGCTGGTATTAAATATACAGAATTTTAATGTTTCTTTGAATTTGTTAAACTTATTTCTCACAGTTCTGTTCATAAATGCAAAGAAACGCTCAATTCTATCATGGAAAGTTTACAGAAAGTATTTTAGAAATTAACTTTTACTGAAAAACTGTGAACTCTTACATTTTGTAAAACGTTTCAAGCTCATGGTCGACTAAAAATGTCTCACTTTTCACACTTGTTGGATTGTGTACATATTTTGTTATTTTATTTTCTACAGGTGATGTTTCTCTCCCTGTTGGCGTGACGTTTCCTGAAGAAAAATGTTTTCCATTAGGTGTTCAAATATACAGATCATCAAAATAATCAACTTCATTGATGAAAAGATTCTCAATTCTTGCCTCTAAAATTGAAAATATGTTAGTGTTTGAAGTTTATTAAAATGAAAATGGATTGATAAAAATATTAAGAAAAGTCAGCAACTATATAAGAAACTTAGCAAAAATGCTGGTACTTTAATAAACCAATATATTTTTAGTATTCCAGTTTCTGATATCCAGTAAACTTTGCTAATTCTGTACTGTGACCATACCTCAACAAATATAGAGGTCAAGTACGTTATATTAAAACGGTTTTGGAACCTTACTACGTCGTGACAGTCCATGTCGCGACGTTCAGTCATTCTCTATTTGACAACAGTGTACCTTCACTGTAGCCAGGCAGTAAACTTTCTCCTGTAAAATGTTCTGTTACAAGACTGTCTTGTCTAGAAAACACCTATCCTCCCATATTCTTTTCGTAAGTATTCTAGTGTACGAGAAGGATTGTTTTTTAGCACCCATTCCAATAGTCCAGTTGCAGAGAAACCTGTATGCACCGCATCTGGCAACTTAATTAATATGACTTCTTATAGGAAGCATCAATGTTAGTTTTATTCTCCAGCTGTTGGAGATATGCGATGGTCGAATGGATTTGTTGTAAAAGCAGCTCGTATACACCTGACTTGTGTTACTTTCCAATTGGAAATCCTTCTTCGTTGTGTTACATATTGTTACCTGTGACACGTGAATGTTTTTTTGCCTCTTACCTTTGAGATTGTGAATTATAATTTGTTACAATTTTGCCTACCATAGCTGGTGTACGACTTGTTGCAGGTCTCTTTGTGGTTGTTCCTACCCTCCAAGATGATCCATATTCTTTTGTTCTTCAAAGGCATTATGTATAAGAGACACCTCCATCTTGAAAATTCTCTATCACCGATCTGAACACATCTTCATGATGTGGTTGTATGAATATTTGGTGTCAGATGTGATTGTTACATGTCCTTACAAGAAGTGATCAATTTTCGGTGGCATCAGCCACTATGTACGAAAAGTCAAACAATGTTAAAATATAGTTCTGATACATTCCTGCCCCCAGTGGCACAGCAGTATGTCTGCGGATTTACAAGCTAGAAACCAGGTTTCGATACTCGTGGTGGGAAGAGTACAGATAGACCATTGTGTAGCTTTGTGTTTAACTTCAAACAAACAAACTGATACATTCCATTCCATCTGTGGTTGTCTCATACATTGCTGTTCTGCACATTGAAAATCGTTTGAATATATCAAACTCAACCCCCTGTACACCATAGTGCAGCCAAATATCAAATAAACGGTACTGTAATCACAACATACTACAAGCACAACATTCATCATGTACTTTTATCAAACACTTTCCTCTAATTAATTTTACCAAACACATTACATAGTATTCACAATAAACCTTATAAAGCATTTTGTCATTTTGAAATTACCTCACGAGTATCTCTTAGTACAGCACAAAACGTTTAAAGCTACTGTGTAAGAAATAGTATTTTAGACTGACTTATGAGTTTTGGTATTGAAAGAAAGACTTCTTGACAGAAGAAGCAAACAAACTAGTTTTAAAATGCTACTTTTACATGTAGGATTTGAAATCTGTAATGAACTATTAAATCTTAAGTCGAAAAAGCATTTTACAGTATAGAATTATTTTTATTACTACATATTAAGCATATTTTATGTTGCTGTTTTTTAATTAGCTATTAATACAATTATTTCCAAGTATTTCCAGTGGTTGTCCCTACAGGCTCGTTGCCAGGTACACTGCTTTCTGCTTCTCTGTCCATCCATTCATCTCTGCCAGATGCTTCCCATGGTGCCTTCCCATCGAATTCCTGTGGCGTCCTTCCTAGCAGAACTGAAGATGTCTGCATGAGGGTTTAGCTGCAAGGTCTGGAAGGGGCTTCCTGTTGTCTGGGGCTGATTAGGTCCATGGTTAATATATCCTCCCTGTGTAAAAGACAGTAAATCGTATTTTAAAGTATTTAATTCACTTTGACACTTACTAATATTTTCCATTTGTGATATGCTGGCTTTCTCTCAACTGTTGGAGACTTTCTTGTTTATTTTCTTTCTCCTCCAACCACTGCTGTAGTCTCTCTTGTTTATTTTGCTGTT